CAACTATAAAAAAAAAATGATAATGAAGGCATGAGCAGTAACAATTACATTTGATCTTCTCCATTTATTCTGTAACTTTACATTAATAAAGAATAGAACTATTCAAAAGTTCGAAAAAAGCCTTTAGAGAACAAAAAGATCATATATATAAATAATAGTTTCACAATAATAACTACTCTTTACTTAACCACTGTCATTTATCGTAAACACATTTATATTCTAATAACCAACATCATATCTTAAAACTCTTTCTACGAAACACAAGCAATTATTTCTTATATAGACTATACATAAAAAATCCCCATCGCAATTGTAATTTACCAGCTATATTTATATTTATTTATATATTTATTTATTTATATTTATTATATTTATTGACGAAGCCTATAAATATAAAAATATTCAAAGTTCTCATTGCAATATATCTTAAAAGTACCTGTGTTGAAGTCAGTGGCGGAGCTAGACTAATTCTGGGCGTTGGCGACATCAGTATTGCGAGGCCCCTTTCATTACCGAGCTGTAACAGTTAGTAATTTACATCGACTAATACGCTGAAGCATGTATAATAATTTTATTTTTAATCAAATTTTACTACTTTTAGACCCACTAAGTTTTTTTTAAAATTATATCATAATTTAAACTATTTGCTACTTTAGCTTCAATTAATAGAACTGCCAATGCATATAGTCTCTCTTAGTCCTGATCAATTATAAGTTTGAGAACATTCTTTCAGCAGAAGCTGTATTGACTGGAACTGTAAGCATGATTTTAGTTACTATATAAACAATTGGACATACTTCCTCTAAATTATATTCAATAATATACCGGATGAGTTACTTTATATCGTTGATTGAGTTTATTGAGTTCGAAAAGAAACAAACAAAGTTATTTTTTTCTCTGGTAACTTTTTGCAACCATCCTTCTCACCCCTCTATCCTTTCGATCCGATTGAAAATCACTAGCATCATGTCTTTAATTATATATCAATGTAATTATTCACATTGGGTAAATACCTACATATATTTTATCGATTCTGTAATGTGTACTAATGTCTAACACGTAAATTAATCTTTTTCAACGTAGGGCTATGGCCAATTAATGAAACCAAATTGAAGATGTATTATATTATGTTAAAATACTACTAAGCTAAATTTGTTAAATATTTAATTTTAATGAATATACTGTGAGAATACTTTAAGAACTACAACTTAATTATATAGGTAGAAAAAGTCTATAGACAGAGCCAATTGAAACTCCCATGACTCAGCTTCCCCGTTTCATAGTTTTATGAGAATAATTTAAAAATATCTTCCTAAACCACTAAAAACATTGTTTAAAAAATTTAAATATTCTCTTGAGTTTAATTTGGAAGAGAATAAGATTAATAATAATAAAATAATTATAAATTGTAATTAAATTAATTATGTTATATTAATTATATCTTTCTGATGAAATTTATATTATATTAAAAAGGATACAGCTCTGAATTCGTGCCAGCATCTTTTCTAATATTAATGTATATTGCATTCAATTGTTCAGATCTGGATTCTTAGGATTAACAAAGACTTCAAATGGGTTTAACGATTAAATTGTGTTATTTATATATATGGTAAGATAATGTTTGAGAATTGTGCTCTAAAATTGAATAAAAATTTTATTTTCATTTTATTTTATTTTTATTGAACAAATTAAAAAGATTTATTGAAACACGATTAAATTAGCGATTGACCATTGATTCAAGACATGATATTTCCTCTCTTCCAGTTTTCTATATTTATTATTTGCACTCCAATTGAAGAGAATATTATGTTACTGAAATGTTAATAACGAATATCTTCTGGATTTATTGAAGTCTTAATTTCTTAAATATTTTATAAAATTGTAAGCAGGCGCGCCACGGAGCAAATACTCTGTCTGTCTGCATATCGAATCGTCTGCAAACCACTTCAATGTAATGAGGCAGACGCCATGTTTGTTTTAAAGCCTCATTTACTGGCATTGCCAGCAATTTATCGCCAAAAGAACTCTAAATGCGCGTAGAGCTACCGAAGTACGAAGTACGCGTTTACAGCTTGGGAAGTACAATTGCATTCGTTCCGAGACTGATAACGACAACTTCTGGTTAATATACAAGCAAATAAAATTATTTATCAATTAAAAATAAATTGTTTTAATTGCACTCGAAATAACACAAACTCAGCACATAAAAATGTCACCACTTAAGTAGAGTTTAGTTCCGAATTCGAAACTATTAGTGCTTGTGGATACTTAGTAACTCGTGGACAATCGCCTGAAATAATAAATTTTATTAAATTACATCGAAAAAAAATATGTAATTATCAAAACCTTTTATTGGTTGTTTTATGACATTCGGTAAAGTTACTACCACACGCAAATATTATATACATTTTATACGTCTTAATTGAGAAATTCGAATAAGTGGGTCGCTGTGAACAGGTCACTATAGTATGCGCACAAGGAAATTATCACGGGATAGGGGTGATGCCAGGAGAGAGCATATAATCAATTCAGTGATATGTCGTTATTAACTAAAGCGATCTACTTATGTATCTAGCCTGTGATAAAAATAAAAATATTCTTCACTTACAAAATAAGAATTAGATTAACTAAATACCTAATAAATTAGATTGGAATTACATTAAATTTAGAATTTCAATGCAGAGTGATTCATAAAACCTCTTTAAACCTCTTTAATATTTTTATTCAAGTCTTTTTATATATGCTTTATTTTATTTATTAAGATCCCAGCATTTGTAATCAAATGTAAGTGATCTAGATATATAAATCTCCTATTAATGTTACTAATGCTGAACAGTAAAGGTATCCGACTTATTACAGAGTTTCTCACTCGGCATTACAAAGTCAAAAACATCTATCAAATTTAGATATTACATGGGACGATAACTGCAGAATTTGTCACGAAGAAGAGCAAACAGCAGAACTCATTCTGTGTCAGTGTAATAGTCTTACCAGACTCAAAGTTTGATACTTATTAACTGCCCATGGAACTAAAGTGGGTTTGTCACAATAATCTTTAAAGAATGCTGTAAAGTGATGACATAGTTCATAAACTTTTCAAGATCTATCTATCTATAAATCTCCACATTTGCAACAAGTAATTTAAATAACAATTGAATGTCCTATGACAAGAAATCTATTCCGAACGGAAAAGGGTGGCAATAGCGAGAAGATTTTTAAATTCAAAAAAAGTCCAATGAATTCTTGAGCAGACCATACAGCTGTTTTGGATATCGCTAAATATCCATCATTAGATATTTTGGAGCTGCAAGTGTCAGCTCACATAATGACTTTTGTTTCGGTTGTCAAAATGTTAAAGACTTTAAATTTAAACTGTTATGAGTTCCAAGCAAAAATTTATCACTTCTCCTTTTTTTTTCTTCTTCATCATCATCTTCTTCTTCTTTTTCTTCTTGTTCTTTTTCTTAGTCTTATTTTTCTTCTTCTTCTTCTTCTTTTTCTTTTTGTTCTTTTTCTTCGTCTTCTTTTTCTTCTTATTCTTTTTCTTTTTCTTCTTCATTTAAGATTAATAAGATTTCTTCTTCTTTTTCTTCTTAAATGGCCATAACAACCCGTTATCACATTTTGGTCTGACATAGCATATATCTCCAAGCAGCTCTACTGGGTGTGTGCTTTCTCCAGTCTCGCACATCAAATCTGGTTTGTAGTCTCTTAACTTGATCACTCCACCTGAAACACAGTCTATCTCTACGCCTTCTTCCTTCAACTACCGCTTCGAAAATGTTTTTCACTAGAGGTTCTTCATGCTTTAATTACTTATAAGTAGTTAAATATTTATTTCCATAGCAACTTATAATTCTGTTCTTCTCTAAATACTGATTGAAATTCAAGTATGTAACGGTTAAAGTAAAGAATATATACTATGTTAATAACATTAATTTATATAAAATGAGTATGTTAAACCTTGTTAAGTTTTAATAATATATAGTGGTATACTTAAAATAAATTAATAAATATCGAAAGTTGTTTTATGCCGTGTGCGAGTTCGAGTAAATTGATGGTAAATTGAAGGAAATAGTAAATTATGTTAATACTTACCAGAATTTCGAGTGGGGTAAATTAGATAAAAAATAGGTAAATAGGGTATTACCATTATGGAAATTGTATAAGATGTTTAATAAATAAATAAATTTATTTGAAAAATTTTAACCAAAAATAATAATTAAGTACAATAAATAAATATTCATATAAGTGCAATTTACTACAACTCGCACACGGCCTTAGTGCACTTTTTCTGTGTTTTCAATATATTCCATGTTTTATTTCAATATCCAATTATAATATTTATTAATAATCCTAACATTCAGTGATTATTGCATATAATTCTTAAGACTATATTTAGGAAAATTTTTAAAAGGTTAACTAAAAAATACTTGTTTCTTGAGGAATAATATGCAATTCAATTTCCTAAATGTTTCCAATTATTAAGAAGTTAATATATTCGAACACCCACAAATCCGCTTTAAACCCAAATAGGCCAGTTTGTAAAAAATCATCCTAATGCAATATTTTGAAACAAACTAATTTAATCCTATAAAATCCTTCTATGAAAACCCAAATATTATTTTCATCATCGTCAGCTTAAGCTGCGGGACGCACGTCAAATTATCAATAAAATGCAAACTCATGTTAAAACAACAAACACCAGCCAAACATTCGTACAAACGTACATGTACTGTACAAATCCGAGACATTGAATTAATTGAAAACAATAAAAGAAAACAGACTTTACTCGTTAAAGATACAAACACACCTTAGAAGTTTTGTATTGAGTAGAGGAGAAAAGAGAAAAAAGACTTCAAAATACAAAAGAAAAAATCAAACAAAATGATTAACTTTGGCAGCGATGATCACTGAAAATCACTCAGAAAACCACAAAACTAACAAACAAATCAGAAATATTTTAATTGTTATTTGTTATTTGTTATCTGTTCTTGCAGCACCGAAACTACCTGCCACAATACATGACTATCAACTCAACGGACAACAGTTAGAGATTTGCCGCAGCGGCAGCGTATTGCCCGGTCACCACCAAACACAAAATCCCCTGCTGCTAACAAACAGCAGCAACAATCCAGGATTAGGCCCAACATTGGCCAGTTGCAACCTGAACGCAACCAACAATTCGGGACGCACCAATTTCACCAACAAGCAACTTACGGAGCTGGAGAAGGAATTCCATTTCAATCGCTACTTGACACGCGCACGTCGCATCGAAATCGCAAATACTTTACAACTAAACGAAACGCAGGTAAGCCAAAATCGCCATTACAACAAAATCACATCAAAATCACATCAAAATCACAACAAAATCGCAACGAACTCAGTATTCGAATTTAAATTAATTAAATTTGAGTCATTAAGTCGCTAATACATTTTAATACTACAGCTTGTCAGCTAATGAACATTAAATTTAATATAATTTTTTTTTTAATTTTATTTAAATTTTATTTTAATTTTATTTAAAATTTTTTTTTATTTATTTATATATTTTTTTTTTTTTGCATTTTGTAACAGGTTAAAATCTGGTTCCAAAACAGACGCATGAAGCAGAAAAAACGTGTAAAAGAAGGACTTATTCCGTCCGATATACTTACGCAACATACAGTTTCCACAACTACAGCAACATCCGCCACATCTGCAACATCTGTTAATAAAACAACAACGCAAAGCAATAACAACAACAACAGCAGCAACACAAACGCGAACGCAAACAATAACACCGGAAGCACAGCAACAATAGTCAACAACAACGGAACAAATGCGATGCATAATTCTGCTGTTAATAACACTGCGCTAACAGATTGCAATTTAACAGCAGTACATAGCGATAACAGCGAATCAAATTAATGTGCATTTGAGAGGAAAATGTTTACAAAATTCAATACATACTGTAAACGTTTGCAGTTTACAGTTTGTTGCAGATGTTGTTGTTATTGTTGTTGCCAGTAAGGAAGAAACAACAACAACAACAACAACAGCAATTTTTATGCCAAATGACAAATAATGTTAACATTTAAAGCGTAAAGCGTAAAAGAGGCAGGCAGGGAGGCAGGCATTTGCTCATTTGGCTGTGATAAATTAAATGTTAAAAAATAAAAATTATTTAATATTTTTGCGTAATTAAAATGATTTTTGAACTGTAAAAGATAATTACTTTCAATATTGTAAAAAAAGCAGAAAACAAAAAAAAATAAAAAAAAAAATTAATTAAAATAATATAAAAATTAAAATCGTGAAAAACTGTGCCATTTCCATTAGACTTAATTAATCTACTTTAATACTTACAAGTTTTGATTTCATTAAACCAATGGATTTAAAAAAAAGAATATATATATTTACATCTATTACATATACATATATATGCAGTAAATAATATATATGTAATTTTTAATTAATTTAAGTTGGTTTTTAGAAATAATTAAATTAAAACATAAATAAATGTAATTCACAAACTCAGGGTTATTAATAGCGGAAATTCTATAAAGTAATCGATAATCAAAATAGTAAAAATTAAATAATAATTAATTCGATTAATATTTAAAGTAATTAAGTAAAGTAAAGCTCTACTATTCATTAAGTTTGTAAAAATAAATTATTTGTAAATACATAATTAATTGTTCATTAGCAATTTTCGGATTATATTCTAAACTGGTAGGCGTGTATGTTTTCCTTTGAGTTAATAACAAATGAAAAAAAAAACAATCTGTTGAATTATGTAAAATAGGATAAAGAAATATATAAATAAATAAAAAGCTCTAGTGCAGTATCATGACTGCCAGGTGATTATATATTCACATAAGTATTTACATACGTATTTATATAAATGCATCGACATACATACACTAATTGAAAATGAAAAAAACTAGTCGTTAGTCTAATTAAAATGTAATTGTATATTGAAATGTAAATATTTAATAAAAAATATAGAAATCAAATTGTTTTAAATAAAAACTCTTATTTTAATTGAACAAGTTCTAAACCCTACCTTACTCGTATATAAATTCTCTAAACTTTATAAATATAACAGGTAAAAGTGGCTTTCATATACTTCAATACTACACAAGGCCTCGTTAAGAATTCCACACATGCCTCTAGATAATTTAATTCCAGTGAGAACTCGTGGAGTAACATTAACATGACTTTTTCAGTACTACGTTCCTAGATTAGGTACTATGCATAAGAAAGTATATAGTATAAATCATGCAACAAATAATGTCTCTACAAGCAGAATAGTATTGAAAGTTAACAATTAAAAATAAAAACATAATTAATTAATTTAATTATTCTACAGCTGGTTTATTATTTTATTCTAATATAAACACACCAAGTAAATTTGTTAATAAAACTTTCACTGCAAATTAACAAAACTACAATAAAATGTGCGAACATAAAAGTCAACTACGACTTTGGATCAGTTAGTTAAGGAGCACTGACACTAAGCTTCAAATTTAGCAGGACACGAGTTCGATTCCTGATACTTGCAGTCTCAAAATATTATTTCCAACAATTATTTCCAAGACCACTGATGTTGGATATTTGGCAATACTCGAAACAGCTGTAGAGTCAGCCAAAAATTCAATTAATTAAAAAATTATGTAATGAATTTTTGTTGTTGTAGTTCACTACTGTTCGAAAAATCTCTTTAGTGAGAATAATAGATAAAGTTATGTTATAAAGTTAGATGTTAAAGATATGTTGCAATGGCACATCAGCAAATAGCTTTCCATTGACTTTGCATTAAATATTTTTCGCGATTTTGCTATCACACTCCTCACAAGAAACCTTAAGATAATTCAGTAGGTCTTTTGTCTTTATATGTGAACAGTCTAAGAAGCTGTCAAAAAAATACTTTTTTTAAAATCTATTTTTTCGGGTTTCCAAAGTCGGAGATTCACAGAAAAAATTTTCAATAGTTTTTGTTTTCTGTAGGGATTCCTCAACTTCTGCCATGAGTATTACAAAGAAGACGCAGTTTCACTGAAAGGGAAAGACCAGAGAGCACTGCAGTAAATCTTACAGTATTCACAATAAAAAGTATTAACAATAAAAAATAAGATAGATTTAAACAAACAACCTATTAGATTACAATTCAATCAAGGACTAAAGCTTTTTAGAAATGTTTTAGTATAGATTTCTACATATATGATTTGTATATGAGTGATTCTTTTATAAACAATTCTAATTGTTCAAACAATTTCATAAAAGTACAATCAATTATCTCTGAAACGCTGTAAATTTTTATCTTTTATAGAACTTGAGATGTACCCATTTGAAAATGTGTCTACAATGCCAATTCTCAAAACCCCATGGGTCCATATCTCCTAGGAAAAAAATCACAAAATTTTTTCCCGAGATACGAGTCTTCTTATTTTATAAAAGGTGCTCATAAGAAATATTTCAGACAAATCGGAGATCATGATGTCAAAAAGGTGTCCGAGTTTTAAAAGAATGACCCATATACATCACATAATAACTATACTTTCATATTTTACGAACGACTACGACTTACCGCAACATATTTAGTTGCCACTATAATCTTTTAAATAAGTTTGATAATATTATATCACTCCATCGGAAATTAGATTGCGATCGATTAAAATTATATGATAAAAGATAAATTATGTTTTGTAGTATCCGAAATAGTTAAGTGGTTAGCCCATAAAATCACTTGATTCAAAATTAAAACAATTCTTAGACAATTTTTTTACCATCACGCCCTTTCTCTCTGGAAAGAATAAATATATGCAATAGATGAATTCTCATAATAAAAAAAAATTATTTTTAATTAAAATATAAATTTCGAGAGTATTGAAGTATCCATTGGCACACCGAAAACTCTAATACACGACATATTACTGATCAAAGTTTGGGTCCCCGATATCACATTCTTTAATTTACCCTATTAGTATATTCTCTGTAGATACTTGAATTTATTGCGTTTTAAATATTATTTAGTCACCTTCAAAGTATGTTCTATCCATTACAAGGTAACTATATACAAGACAATACTTAACATATTTTTCATATGCTAATTGGAATATGCCCTACAATTCTTCAGGCAAATATTTTTTTTATAGTATACATTATAGAACTTGAAAGGTTTTCTTCGAAGTGGTAATTTTAACTTCGGAAACAGAAAAAAAAATGGGGAGCCAGATGTCGTTAAGTTTTTTGCAAAAAAATTGCTTTACAAGCAATTGGCGCTGAGCCATGGCACAACACTCAAAAGTATAAATGTGTAAAAAATAGCTAATATGAGTAAACCGGGTAACGGATTGTGTTCAAATATAAAATGGTATCTTTTATATGCGTTTTTCAAATTATAAACTCCGTGTACTTTTCTCACAAAATTTATTTATAATTGGTCAGTTAAAAATGAATTGCAGACAATATCTCCAGTTCCGGAGATAATTCCTATCTAAAGTCAACATTAATTTATATTTTTAATTACGGGTGTTTTGGAAAATAAAAGCTACTCGATATAAGGATGAGTGCTAATGTTTTCCAAACCTTTTTTGTGCTGTGTCCCACCTAAGTCCCTAATAGCCACCTATAACCTTTTATTTAATTTTTATAAAACTTAATTTGTATCCTTTAAATAAAAGAATATTTCAAACAAATTTTTATTAAAATAACTTCAATAATTTATTTAAATTTAATATTGCCCCCTAAACAGAATTTATCCTCTCAGCAGTCAAATTGACCTGTTGTAGGACGGAAACCCCATTTTGGACGTGAACCACTACACTACAATTATCTTTTCAAGAAACTAATACATAAAATATCTGTAAATAAACTTTGTTGTCTGATCATCAATTAACTAAAAAAAATTGAAAATAAGTTTAGAACTACAAGTTTTGAACCAATTTTATTTTTAGCGACAACTTCTGTAATGCACAACAATCCTCTTCCTAAACCCATTATAAGATTTGTAGAGACATAACAATATTTAGAAGAGCAAACCATATAACTTAGTAATCATACTCATTGAAATCCTGCTTGTTCTGTACAGAAATCGATTGTAAATAAAAAGGGCACTCATTTCTCTAAAAAAAATTTGAAGTCAAAATGATAAACTGCGAAACATCGATTATCTATTACGATTGATTTCTCTCTGAGGTTTTCAGTTATTGAAAACAATTTAAAATATCATTTTCTGGTTTTTAGAGTAACAACTTGGTTTAGGATGCCAGATCGTTGGACGTTGTCGGTATATATACAATCGTATAGTATAATTTCGAAATGGAAATATTTCTATTCAATTATACAACTAAACCTCATCAATTAAAACAATAAGCTTTATTTTAAAATATATTTGAAATATACAAGTATCTGTAGAAGAATTTTGAACAAGATTTAAACCTCACTCTAAGCAAATTTTAACCCATTGGTCCAATATATAATGATGATATATTATGTTAGTTAAAAATATACAAGTGCAATTAAAATATTTAACCAATTAGAGTATGTATTACTTCCCCCAAAATAAGCTCTTCTCTTATGAGAACTATATCCAAATCTAAAAAGATTGAAACGTTTTGAAACATCCAACTAAAAAATATTTTCAAATTATTTTAAATAAATACTACTCATCTATTCTATTACTCAACGATTCAAAAACGACTCGAATTAATGTATATATTCACAATTAATAGTTAAAATAGAAATTAATAGAATAAAATACTGTCTTTGCATCTAGTTTCAAAGTTCCCACCCCACATGAACAAACACTTTGATTAACATATAGAACACACTAACTATAAATACTAGGGATTATATAGCTATGTATATATACAAGGTGAGATGAAAAAACTGCAACAAAGTAAAACGCCATAATTTTTTCATTTTTTTTAAATTTTATTGAATGAAAGCAAAAAATGTCGGAAATAACATCAAATTTGAGAATCGGTTTAGATTTGTTCGAATTGGCCACCTATGGCACGAACTATGGCCTTCAAACGGCCAATGAAACCATCACACGCTGCCCGAAAGTGGCTCTGCGGTATTTTGTCCCATTCTCGGCGAAGCGCTTGCTTGAGATGATCGACACTTTGGTATTTTTTAGTGCCAACCTTGCTTTCCAAAATACCCCAGGCACAATAGTCCAATGGATTGGCATCCGGAGATTTTGGTGGC